CGTCCCCTCCCCCCCGCGGGCAGGTTCAAGCCATTCCCCTTGTCCTGTCCCTACATCCCTTGTCCAAAGCCCCTCTCCAGGTTTCCTGGAGCCCCTTTAGGCCCTGGAGCTGCTCTAAGGTGTCCCCTTCAGGAGCCTTCTCTTCTCCAGCTGCCCCAGCCCAGCTCTCTCAGCCTGGCTCCAGAGCAGAGCTGCTCCAGCCCTCGCAGCAGCTCCGGGGCCTCCTCTAGACTCACTCAAGGAGTTAAATAAGTTAAATATACATTAAGTAAGTTCTCACTAAACACAAACCCAGAATTATAGCATATTTTCTAATGGCCTTCCACATCAAGTAGCCAAAGGAGAAAGAGTAAAACCAGCAGAAAATGCTGAAGCAGGTAAATATGCATTCAAATCCTTCTTCCTTCCAAGTGACGATCTGTGGCGTCCACTCATCTGGCTTAGATCAGACTTAACCTCTTCAACCAAAACCTGGCATTCTCAAGGAACACACGTGTAGTGGGAACCACCCCGTGCAGAGACCCCAAGGGTTCTGACTTCCAAGATGCAAGATAGTGAATGTGTTCTGACTGGCATAATTTTACGGTGAATCAATAAGCGGTTGGTTCTTCTGCCCTCTTTTTCTCTCTGCAAGGAGAGAGTTCTACCTCATTCACCTTGATTTCGACCCACGAGATCTAGAGTGCTCCCTGGAACTGGAACGAGATCTTGATCTGGAACTGGAAGAACTTCTTGAATGGGACCTGAAACAACACGGAAGATTTTTTTTCCAGTGTCTGACTTGCATTTAGCAGAAAAACTGCTGCTGTCAGCAGCAGAGACAGCGCTGCATCAACGCAGTCTGGCCTAGAGTCACTAAAGTGGTGACAATTTCCTCCGGCTCCCCCAGAACCACCACAGCACATTGTGAAACAGAAACTTTAACATAGTAAGATGGTGCAATTAAATTACAAAGTCAGCTTTTAGATTACGTTTCCTAAAACAAAGCACAAACATTAAACAGGATTGCAGTTACTTGGCAATGAAACAACTGCCCATATATTAACTGTTTCATGAAACCAATGCCTTCACTTTTAATTTGTGCTTTAACCTGAAACCCATCATTCCTCTGAACAGCAGAGTAGGGCAGAGCATCAGGACTAGCAAGCCCAGATCTCCCCCACATCAGTTCCCACAAGCATTTTGAAGCAGTTACAAGTTTTCATCAAGATTTTCCTCTGCATTAACAATCAGTAGTAGTTAATTCTGGGTTCAAGAATTACAGACATCTCCAACACCACTTGTAAGTTGTCAAAATTACTCCACATTTTTTCATGTTGGTGGATTTTCTTTAAAGCACAAACAACAAGAGATGTAAAAACAGTAACGGACATGCACTGACACTGTAAAAAGAAGGCACTGCCATCAGATTGTAGTAATCTTTAAGGAAAAGTCTATTATACATGCTGTCAATCTCCCTATTTATATTGTTCCCACATCTTTTTCGTTTTACTGTAAACAGAAGCAGTATGAACACATGCTAACTAGGAAATACATTTAAACTGTTTTAAAGAACACAAAAGAAGTGTCCACAAATGGCAGCTGACATTTCCATTACTCATCTGTAGCTAGAAGCAAACAGTTCAACAGGAAGTTGAAAGATCCCTTGCAAGTACCAGTTATTTCAGTTAACATTTGTGAATCAATGAGCAAAGTCATGGCCAGATGACGTTCTGCCTCCTTTGACCTTCCCACCCCTTCACCTAAGAACTGCCCTCAAATGCAGCTCACACTGGGTGCATGCTGCCCTCAAAAAGGACAATGAACCCACTTCCGCAGAGATCTTGCCCCACACCTTCCTTCATAGAGGCATCCCTGTCCATGGCAGGGGGGTTGGAACTAGATGATCTTAAAGTCTTTTCTAACCCTAACTATTCTATGATGATTCTATAATGAAATTGCTCACAGTGGCCAGTTTCATCACTCTCATTCAGGCTGCTCCTCCTCAGAGCTACATGACATTTGAAGGAGGGGGAGTCTCACAGAAGGGACTGTGAAGAGCTTAATTTGTCATAAAAGTGGCAGCATGGAAAAATGCATAACAGCAATGGGAGGAAAGACAAAAGAGAGAGCGATTGACACCTGGTTAGTCTGAGGGGCTGAAGAATTTGGGCAATGGTCACCACAGGGAGAGCAGAGAGGTGCAGTTACAGAGCTAAGAAGGTTAGAAGAAACTTGAACTTTATGTGTATGAACTTTATATATAACCCTATAAGCTAATACTGATTTGAGGTCTTAAGCCTACCAATATCATCCTTGTATTAATTGTAAGGCAGCTAAAAAGCTGCAACATGATTTACATCACCCAATTACGCATCATTTACTGAATTGTCCATATGTTACTGAATTTAAACAATAATAATAACAACGTGAGATCTTCAATCTGCCCCGCAGGCTTTTGTAGTGGTCCCATGATCAATAGAAATCTTCAGTGTTCTTCTGACAGCGCTGCCACTGTACTTAAAGCTGTGTCTCCTGCCAAGTTCAAGTTTCTTGTCATTATTTCCAGGCTATTTTCCATTCTCTCCTTTCCCTGAATCTGCCTGGACTGCATCATCACTGCCCTCTTCTGCGTCCTCCCACTCAAACCACAGCACCCTCTGCCTCTGTTCAACAGCTCTACTCAACATTGCTAAAAAACAAAGTTCACGCATCGACTGACATACAGCCAACAAGCCTAAAAATAAAATTGAAAATAAGTTATATTTCTTAACTTATTTGCAGGATTCAATTGAAATATCAACTTATATTTGCTAAAACAAGCAGTAAGATACAGGAAACCTCCGTCCTGAGGAGCCACAGAAGGTCAGAACAGAACATTATCTACCTGTGTAAATTCCATACATGAAATCATTAACATTGTTAAACTAAAACTGTAAGGCAATAAAGAAAAAAAGTAAATAAAGAAGTTAGATACTGACATTTTGCCTGGCGTTACCCTTGACCTGTACCCGTTTACCTGGACCTAGACCTTGAGCTTGAATGAGAGGATGAGCGCGATGAAGATCGCGAGTGGGAAGACCGAGACTTAGAGCGACTGCGCCTATTGGGTTTCTTTTTCTTATTAGTGTCCTCTTCCTCACTGGCATCAAGATTGTATTTTGAGAGGTCAGCATCATCTTCATCCTCATCCTGAAAAAATGCAGATACACAAAAATGCTTGAGAAACACCTGGATTGCTTCCTCCAGATAGTGTTTTTTACCTGTTCTAAGGTTCATTTTGTGGCTTTCAACCTTGGAAATACTGTGGTTAGTGCACTTCCTGAGATCCAAGTATTTTATGAGAAAGGGGTGACTGAAAATTTGTGTTTCAAAGCAAACTAATACAAAGCCTGCAAATACCCCATCCGAAGCCCCTTTTTCTGTTATTTAATGAAGCTGATAAGAACACAGACGTTCATTTTACCAGTTATTTTAACTGAGTGCCCCGAAGAATCTGCAGATGCAAAATCCAGAACCAAAGCACAGTTCTGCAGAGACACGTGTCATGGGCAGGATTTGGTGGCTGCTGCATAAAGAACAAGCACATACGCAGGTCTCTGCAGGACTGTTGTCCAGACATGTGGACAATCCCATATGTGACCATGCATTTCAGGAAAGATGAAAAATCTCATTTTATTCCATTTATAAAATAGAAATCTGATGTGGTTTTAAAAGACTAAGAGTAAAACTCAACAACACTCCTTTTATATGGTGTCCATATGTAAAGGTTCCAAATACAAATCTTAGAACTACTGATTCTGATCTCAGATAAGCTTACAATTTTTTTAAGTTTTAAAATCATACATCTGTGACTGTAGGTATTTAGAACAGGACCAGATCTTGTGCACATACTTCACAGAAGCTGTAGCACCATTATTCAATAGCTGCTCCTCCACATTGCTCTAAAGGCAGCTAAAATACAGACCAAACCTTACCCACTACTACTAAACAGCACTGAAGTAATGATTAGAGAATGATAAAAACTCCAAACACGTCACCTCATCCAATTTATATTTGGAGAGATCTTCATCCTCATCCTCCTCATCTTCCCCTTCAGACTCCTTATCTTCTACTTCCTTCAGGATAGAGGCAGGACCAACTGGCTTCCCTCTGTACTTTTTCTTTTTGCGTCCAAACTAAGAAATGTTATTTCATTAGAATATAACAGAAAGGTCATGTAAAAATTAATTAAACCCTGTATTTTCTTACAAGCACACATCAAATTCAAGTAAGATATTGCTCAAAGGGA